TAATAATAATAATAATAATAGATAAATAGCATTTGTATAGCGCATATCCCCGCTCGACTGCCGGCTCTATGCGCTTTACACTATATTCCCCTATATATGACATTATGCAGTTGCGAGCACCGTAAAAACCTACCTAAAACTAAACGGATGTGTTACTAGATAGTAAAAAGTACAGTTCTTCCCGCATCCGATCCCGACATTGGGGATTGCCTTGTTAGTGAGACAACTTCCTGGGCCTTAATCATAATGTGGTATGGTGGCCAGTTCCTTTCCACGCCGCCTTTACTTCCCTATCTCGAAGTCAGTTACTCATTACTGCTGGGTTGGCAGGAGGGGGCGAAAAAAAATCCGTGTCCCAACCGAAGCTCGAACTCGGACTTTCCGCTTCGGAGACGAGCGCAACTAAACAGTTCTATACACAAATAAGAAGGAGAATTGAGTGCTGAAACATCTTGAGGAAATAAAAAATAACACTGCCCACCAAGTCTAAAAAAGATGGAGGAGAAGAGGAAGATCCAAAAGTACGTGGAGAGACGTAGATTCGAACCCAAACGTAATGGGATACAGCTGGACGGAGCTGGAGACTACAGTCCAGGGCAGAAATAGATGTGGAGCTCTCGTTGGTGGTCTATATTTCGGGAGGGCGTGAAAAAACTGCTGCTGCTGCTGCTGCTGCTGCTCATGCTGCTGCTGCTGATGACGACGATGCTGCTGCTCATGCTGCTGCTGCTGCTACTGCTGCTGATGATGGTGATGATGATGATGATGATGATGATGATGATGATGATGATGATGATTCAAACCGGGCAAAAATTTAAAATTCCTACCAAACTGAAAATGTTTAACATGTCCCACGCGCTCATATTATGACTTTTGCAGGTGCAAGAGCTGTAAAACACTTACCAAAAGAAAAGAAAAAGAGAGAAAGAAAGAAAGACAGACAGACAGAAAGGCAGACAGAAAGCAAGAATGAAAAGAAAGAAAGAAATTTTGTTTGTTTGTTTGTTTAGTATAGGGTTTTACGGCGCTCGCAACTGCATAAGGTTATATGAGCGCGCGGGACACACCTAATACTTTTTCGTTGGTAGGAAATTTTGAATTTTGCCCGGGTGGCGGCCGAAGCCTACTCTTATCGATTTTAG